GCCTGGCATTCTTTTGTTGTGGGCAGGTCCTTGAACTGGTTCATTCTGTTTTGACACTCCGCCCTCCCACCTCCAACCCCCCACCCCTGCAGAGAATTTGCATTTTCACTCCAGATGTACTGAATCAGGCGAAGCTTGTGGCTCTATAGGATAAACAGTCCTTATCCAGCAGTACCACACCTGGACTCCTGAGTAAAAATGATGACTCTTTGATTCCTTAATATCCTCTTTGTTAAAACTGGGGCAATAAAAGTACCTTTCTCTATGGACTTTCACGTCTAGGTTTAAGTGTTGTTGTTGTTGTTAAGTGCTGTCGAGTCGATCCCGACCTGTAAGTGACCCTGTGTATGGTTTCCTAGGAGCAGCTGGTGAGCTTGAACCGCTAACCTTGCAGTTCAAACGGCTTTGTAGTCTGGCACATTAACCCACAGCACCACACCAGGACTCCAGGTTTAAGTGAGAGACTATATATTGCATGCCTATCATGATGCATGGAGTCCTGGTGTGGCGCTGTGGGTTAATGCGCCAGACTGCAAAGCCCTTTGAACTGCAAGGTCGGTGGTTCAAGCTCACCAGCTGCTCCTCGGAAACCCTATACAGGGTCGCTATGGGTTGGAACTGACTCAACGGAACTTCACAACAATAACAACAACAGCCTCGGACACCTTGTCCTATAAAGTCACTAGGACTCAGAGTCAACTCTAAGGAGTGAATATTAGGTGATTTTATTTATTTATTTATTTCAGACTTCAGACAGAGACTTACCAATTAGAAAGTAGGGCAGGTTTGGGACCTGAACAATCTGATTCCAGAGCTCTTCCTCTCAGTTGATGAAACAAATATCAACAGAGACATATGTTCTACATCCTAGTTTGGTGAGTAGCATCTGGAGTCTTAAAAGCTTCCGAGTGGCCATCAAGATACAACTACAGTCTCTGCTTTCTGGAACAAAATAGAAAGAAGGAAACCAAAGACTGAAAAAAGAAGCTAGTCAGCACAAGTAGCCTACAGGAACCACAACCTTATCCCTCCTGAGACCAGAAGAACTGGTCAAGATTTTTTTTTTCAAATCTGATCTTAGGGATGGGCAAGTCAGGAGAGAGGGTACTTCATGAAGTTTCCAGATTTCTTGCTGCACAGGAGACCAGAAGAACTAATGGGGCCTGGTTACTACTGGTGGTGCTTATGTGCTGTGCAGTGTATAGTAAAACTGTATAGGGTTTTGAGACTGTATATCTTTATGGGAGCAGAAAGCCTCATCTTTCTCCAATGGAGGGGACTGGTAGATTTGAACTACTGACCTTGCAATTAGCAGCCTAGCTTGTAATAATCCATTATGCTACCAGGGATCCTTTGGTTACTACTTCGGATGGTCTAATCAGGGCCACAATAGATGGATTCTGATAGAATGAGAGAAAAATATGGAACAGAACCTCAAGTTCCTAAAGAAATCAATAAAAGAGATGTACTGGACAGATTGAAACTGAGGTACTCTTCAAACCTTGAATCAGAACCAACCCTTGAAGTTTGAAGCTAAGTAACAAATTTGTTTAAAAAAATAAAGACTATCACCTATAAGTACTGCACTTCTTCTTTTTTTAAAAAAAAAAAAATCACCTATCTGAGGCCAAACAACAATCAAGCACTTTAAAATAAAGATGAAAACGTAAGGGGTGGAGAAATGATTGCTGTTGTTAGGTGCTGTTGAGTTGGTTCTGACCATAGTGACCTTATGCACAACAGGAAGAAACACTGCCTGATACTGTGCCAATCTCACAAGCCTTGTTAAGCTTGAGCCCACTGCGGCTACCACTGTGCCAATCCATCTCTTTGGGGGATCTTCCACTTTTTCACAGACAGTCCATGTTACTAAGCATGATGCCCTTTTCCAGGGACTGGTCCCTCCTGATAATATGTCCAAAGTATGACATCAGATGAAGTCTGGTCATCCTGACTTGTAACGAGCATTCTGGCTGCACTTCTTCCAACACAGATTTGTTTCTTCTTCTGGCAGTCTATGGTACTTTTATGTTCTCCTCCAACACGGTACATCAAATGCATCAATTCTTCTACAGTGTTCCTTATTCACTGTCCAACTTTCACATGCATAGGAGGCTATTGAAAATATCATGGTTTGGGTCAGGTGCACCTTAGTCCTCAAACTGACATCTAATTAGATGAATGAAAATGGAACAACCAGAACAGAAGTAATGAGAATGTCCATGCATTGTGAAGAATGTAACCAACATCACTGAGCAATTTGTGCAGAAATTGCTAAATGGGAACCTAAACTGCTTTCTAAACCTAGGCTCCATATGATAAGAACTGGATTGAGAACTACTAGGTTGGTGGTTTGAGCTCACCAGATGCTCTGAGGGATAAAGATGAGGTTTTCTGCTTCCAAAAAGATTTAAAGCCTCGGAAACCCTATATAGAGTCACTATGAGTCAGAGCCGACTCTATAGCATTTTTAACAACTATATATATTCAAAAAATCAACAAGAGACAACCATTTATCAGCATGTATGATAGTCTACCTAACAATAACAACAAAATGATACTCCAGATAAAATCCTGGAATAATGAAGTCATTTTAAAAAATAGAAAAAAAGGAACATAGTTTTATGGCTGAAAGCATGGGCGTTAAAGGTAAACAGACCTGGACTCAGCATTACCATTCAATACCTCTGCATCCCTGTACAACATCCAGCCTGTTAGAGCCTCAATTTTCTCATCTGTAAAATGGGTATAATATTCTCTACTCCAGAAGGTTGGTGTGAGGATTAAATGAGATTATGCATGCGAGTCACTTAGCACCATGCTGACTTTCATCCATTACCCAAATAAAATAGTTGCAAGTTTTTACACAGCAAGGGCTGAGCCCATACAGAGAAGGTACAGACAGCTGTGGGAACCCCTCATAGAGACATGGGTAAATCCTACTTTGGAGTACTGGTATGGTGCTTGGGTTAATGTGACTGACTGCAAAGTTGGTTTGAACTGCAAGGTCGGTGGTTCAAGCTCACCAGCTGCTCCTCGGAAACATTATACAGGGTCGCTGTGGGTCAGAACTGACTCGACAGCACTTAACAATTCCTATTTTGTGGTGTTGGGGGCCAGCCTGGAGTTCCTGCTCCTGGACTCTTGTGCCAAGCACTTAGGAAAGGAATAGAGAGGAGGAACAGTGGGCTAAACAGCCTGTAGCTCTAGCTCTAGGGAGATAGCGGACTGAAGAGGGCATTTGGAGGTGAGGAGCTCCTCACAGGGCTGGGGGTCTTCTTCATTACGGGGGGGATGAGGTCACAAACATGAGACTCCTTCTCTTGCTTAGCACACCCTTGTCCAGCACACGATGCCTGTTCCTCTAGAAGACTAGGGTAAGAGAATCTGCCACACTAAGCTTCATTCCTCAAGTCCAGCTTTCTACCATATGTTGCATGTACTAAAACTGAAGGTTAAATACATACTTGGGAAATACAGCCATTCAGGGGATATGCAAGTTGATCCTTAACTCAACCATGCTACTTCTTTTCTGCATTGACTTTTGTTGTCTCAAGAAACAGACTGTCTCTAATTTTTTTATAATTCTTTAATTTTTTTCAAAATGTAATTGAGGTTTGCTTTCTTTCGTCTTTTGCAAATCTGTACTATAATAACTGCCTCAAAAGATCACAGAAGACAACTGCATGTGAAGCTGCTAGCTCACAGCCAGGCACAGGGAAGTACTCAATTTAACTAATAACACCAAAATTATTACTATTACTTTTACAAAGTGTTTCCGCTGATATCATCTCTGGAACTCCTCCCAGGGGAGGAGATCCACAGCACTTCTAATTTTAGGGACCCTAAGGAGACAGAGCTGCATTTGCAATGCGTTTGTGTGTGTGTGTGTGGGGGGGAGGGGGGTGTCTTGAAACATGGTGGGGAGAAGGATTGAATAAGAGGGAGACAGATGGTCGTGTTGGGGGAAGGGACCAGAGATCCTGGAAAACTTATGTTCCCCGATTTGCAAGAATGTTTTCATTTAACCACTTCTTGTCAGACTCCAGATTCTGTAAAGCAAAGGAGGGAGTTGTGAGATTTGGGGCCACCTATGCCAAAGCCATTTGAACTGCAAGGTCGGCGGTTCAAGCTCACCAGCTGTTCCTCGGAAACCCTATACAGGGTCGCTATGGGTCGGAACTGACTCGACGGCTCTTAACAATAGCATACCAAAACCATGCCAAAACCCTGGCCACTCGGGTGGTGAAAACCACTTGCATTAGGGAAAGGAGGTAAAACAGGTATTTCCCTAGTCTCCTGGGGCTCTAGGGTCTTAGTAGGGGACCCAGGTAAAGGGCATCCTCCCTTTACCCTGGTAGGGGCAGTGAAGGGGTGGCCGCCAGCTCGGACTGTCCCACGAGGGGGCGCGTCCCCGGCCCTAAGACCCGCCCTCGCGGCGCTGGGCTCTGGGAGGGGACCCGGGAACCCAGGAGCCCAGTGCTCCGCCTCCTGTTTCCGGGGCAGCGCGGCTACCTGCACCGCCCGGGCCGCACCTGGCGGAGGCAGAAGTCGCAAACCCAGCGAGTATAGAGCCGCGGATCGGAGAGGAGGAGACAGCACCCGCTCGGGGGAAGGAGAGGCGGCGGCGGAAGGCGGCGGCGTGGAGGGCGCAGCGCGCGGCGCCGCGGAGAAGACCAGGCGGTAGCTCTGCTCTGCTCGTTCTGCCCTGCCGGCTGGGCGCGCACCCGGGCCCGCACCGCGCTGCTGCGGGCGCACATGGCAGCGTGAGAGGCCGGAGGCGGGAGGAGCGGGTGGCGCCGGACCCGGGCCGCAGGGCCGCATGGACAGCGGCGCCACCCCGGCCGGTCCACACTAAGGCCCCAGATCAGTGGGCACCCCCTCCGATCATGGTGCCTCGGCGGCCGCCCGGGCCAAAAGTGGCCGGCCGGAGCCGCTGAGCCGGGGGTCTTCGCTGCGGCTGAGAGCTGCATGGGGGAGCGCGGGCCGCGCTCGAGAAGATGCCCCGGCCGGAGCTGCCCCTGCCGGAGGGCTGGGAGGAGGCGCGCGACTTCGACGGCAAGGTGTACTACATAGACCACACTAGCCGCACGACCAGCTGGATCGACCCGCGAGACAGGTAGGACTCCGGAAGGACCCTCTCTCCACACCCACACTGCAAAGAAATAGGGCCCGGGCCTCTATCTGCCCCAGGGGGTCACCGGCCCATACTGGGCAAAGGGGCGCACTTCGTCGAATCCGCCGCGTAGCCGGAGGTGGGGGGCGGCGGAGCTTTGCGCATCTCTCCCGGTTTCTTCAGATTTCTCCTAACCCTTTCTGGAGCTCTGCTCCTGCCCTGTGGGCTACGGGGAGGAAGGGATGGCCAGCGCTGCCCCCACCGCCATCCCCAGGTGGAAGTCTTAGGCCCCAGCCGGCACCTGCCCAGAGTTTTGACCTTAAGCTCTAGCCCCGCCCCTCGCCCCCTTTAGTAGGAGAGGTTGTGCTGGGGCGGGAGAGAGACTTAGCCGGGTGAGGTTTACTGGGGAGGATTTCCCCAGCGTCGGGGTGCGGGGGACGGTGATGAGGAATCTTCTGGTTTGGAGGTGGTAGTAGGGGACCTAGGGTTCAGTGGGAGACTGTTGGAGGAGGGGAAGGCAGCCTGAAGTGTGTGTTTTGGCAGGTGCTCCTGAGAAGAGCAGGGAGCAGCCAGGGGGCCTGGAAGCCGAGGGTGGGAAGGAAAAGGAGCGGGGGAGGGCAGATCAGGGAGACTGGTTCTCCAGGAATCTCACTGCAACTTGGAAGCTACTAAGACGCTGATAGAGGTGAGAGGCCTCTGGCAAAGCCCAGCCCATCACCTTTTTCTCCTCTGTTTCTTACCTCTGGGAACCTTGGTTCCTGAGCCCTGCACCAGCTCATTCTGACCTTGGTGGGCACCAGGGCGGCTGCACCACGGATTTTCATTTTTGTTTTTTTGCTGAGGCAGATGGAGCTGCAATGGCCCAGTCACTTAGCTCTCCAGACTATCTTCTGGTTTTGACTGCTGGGCATTTTATTGCAGACTTTCCCCTCCCCTATCCCATGTATGTCCTGGTCGACACCCACGGGGACCACTTTGCTGTCCTTTGCTGATATAGGTTGTGGAGAGTTCAAAGTGTCTTCAGGAATGTGTAACTTTTACCTAGTTAGTGTGACCTTGGGGGTCACGTGCCTGTCAAGCAGCCAAGGTTAGTTGTTTGGACCCTTCTTATGGGATTGAATAGGACCCAGAAGTCCAGGGGTTTATGTGTAGAAAGTAATGGATTTTTTAAAAAGCAAGGCAAAAGCAGAAAGAAAATGTGAGTTGAGATTCCCAGTAGTTTCTGTGAGCACTTAGGGTCATTCATTCATTTGGTTCCTTTGCAATGCTCCACAACATGCTGAATGTCTCATTAATGGAACAGAGAAGAAAATGCTTAAAGCTAGGAAGAGTTGCTTTACCCTCTGAGTCTCAGTTTCCCTACTTATCAGATTAATGGTTTGCTTAGAAGGGAAGGAGCAATAGTGGGAATCTTAAGAATTGAAAGGGATTGGATTTAGATTAGAGCCTGACCCCCAGTTTGAAACAGGAGAAAATCTGATGTCCAGCGGTGTCATTTGCTCAAGTATTTTGAGATTTCCACTCTGCAAACACCAAGTTCTTTACCAGTGGAGAAGTTCTAACCTTCCAGCATGCTGTCCTCACTCACTTTTCTTCTGATGCCCTCAGGATCAATTGTCAGCAGAGGCTCCATTACCCCCTTGGTGAGCTGGGCAGCCTTTCTCTGACCCCTTTTTTCCTTGTCCTCTGGACAGCAAAGTCAATTTGAACCACATGGTCGACAGTTCAAAGTCACCAGCCACTCCTCGAAACCCTATACAGGGTCGCTATGATTTGGAACCGACTCGACGACACTTAACTTCTTGGAGAGACAACAAATTCAAGTTTGCATGTCTTCCCCCAAGTTGGGCCACTGAGACTGGTAGGTACACAGTTAGGAGTTGGAGGTCTGAGGGCTAGGACAGTCTCATACCCAGCACTGCATTACCCAGGTAATGCAACTCTGAGAGGACAAAAGGACTGGAAGATTCCCAAACAACAGTAATTCTTTTCCCTTGGAAGAGGACTAGCTTATAACTTCTGTGGAAAACTGACTCAGCAGGAACTCAGTTTGCCAAAATTTAGTAATCTATAGATTGCCTTTTTTTTTTTTTTTGCAATACCTGCATACCATTTATGCTTTTGTTTACTTAATATCTAGAGTTAAATCAACTCACTTATGACATTTTTGTACCACTTTTACAAATGAGAAACACAGTGTCTATTACCATCATCGAAGGTCACCTTTAAAAGTACAGTGAAAATAACCCAGTGATATTGTATTGTATCTGCATACAGTTCCCAGTCCCTGCACCAGCCTTGGCTTCAGTCTTTGTTTTTTGGCAGATGGGCAACCATTGAAGAGGCATTAAAAACACACTGGTAACTAATTGAGTGGGACATCTTCCTCATTTTGCAAATCTGTGTTTGCTTGTTTGGTTGTATTCCGTGTCTTTGCACATCCTACTCTTCCTAACCACATGTGGCTACTGAGGTGGTCCAGAGCATGGGGCGCAGAGGGGTTCTGAGGTCAATCCTGAGGATCACTGTTGTGGTAGACCAACTTTCCTGAAGTTTTAGGAAGGAGCTGATCAAAGGGCAACCACTGTGGCCCTTGGGAATTTCCATCTTGCATTGTGTTAGGCAGTGCAGACAGCTGGCTATGTGGCCTCAGGCAAGTTGCTTGACCTCTCTGAGGCCCAAGACCTCTCTAGAAGCCTCCCTTGCCAGTTCTCAGATTTGAAATAAGACCTCTAATTTGACTCCATGGCAAGATGAGGGAAGAGGTGTGTGGGAAGAGGGGTGGGATGGGGCTGTGTGCAGTTGGAGAAGGAAAAATTTAACTAGCCTATTTAACAGCCAGACATTTTTTGTGGTGGGGGGGGGAAGGTGGGGAGAGGTGATGTTAAATTTATCTAGATAAGTACATCTCTTCGACTGGTTAATGCTCTGAAACAAAGAATAACTTATCCACTCATCAACTAACTGTATGTTTGCCTCAGCTTTTAAAAAATCTGAATCGAAGAGATGCCCACCCATTCCCCTGAATTTAAAAGAAGTAAGTCAAATGGTTATTCAGTCAGAAAAGTGATTTCTCAGCCACCAAGGACAAAATAGCATCTCCGGTTACCAACCCTAAAGAATGTCTTGGCACATTCCTCCCTCTGGGGTTGAGTTGTTTTGTGTGCTGTCCCGAATGGAGGCTGCTGGGGGTAGGGAATCCAATGTTCAGCTTCCTTTTCACCAGGGGGTTGGAAGAGCTGCCAGGCAGCCTGCCTTGCCAACTCTCTTCCCTTCTCACCGAGGGGATGACTGGGAGGCCGAAATTCCTAGGGACGGTTGTCCCAACAACCAGAACAAGTCCAGTGGGCAGCTTGGGCCATGCCCACTAGGCTCAAGGCCCCAGCAGCAGCATTAGTAGCACAGATTCTTAACTGAGGTGAAGCCAGTCTGGGAAGGTAACGGGCCCTTTAGGAACCCGGTGCTAGGGACCAGCCCTTTGGAGTAGAGTGTTCCTTTTGCTGTAGAACTCTGGGTGCTGCCGGGAGCCCCCAGCAAAGGGCCAGAGTCCTGTGTGTATTTAGCCTAGTGGTGTGCAAAAACAAATAGTCTGATTGTTCTTTGAGGAAGAATGGATCACTGCAACTGGCTCTGCCAGAGAAGGTTCTTGAAGCCTGATTCCTGCTTGTTCTGTGATTTACGTTCAGACCTTCCAAGAAACACCTGGGAACTCTGGGCTCAGTTTCTAAGTCCTTTTGCCAAGCATTGGAGGCCACATAGTTTGAAGGACCCAGCAACCTCTGTTATGACCTAAGGAGCTTTTGCTAACCTTATTATTTCAGAAACAATGTATATTGTGTGAAGTTGGGTCAAACACAGTAGAAAGTTCCTAACCTTCTTCTGGTTATGTAAATCTGGCAAAAGTCAGGACTTTTACCAGAGAAAAATGCAAACACAGTTTTTGGCACTAATTTCTGGGGCTCATGGACCCCAGGTTCATAATTCCTGCTGTAGTTTAACTTGGGGAAACTGCTCATCACCCCCAGTATGCCTTCCTGTATAGCTAAGTGAGTCACTGAGTGATACAAACAGTTACTTGGCTTCTAACTGAAAGGTTGGTGGTTGGAATCTCCCCAAAGGCACCTCAGAAGAAAGGCACCTCAGTGATCCCTTTCCAAAAGATCTCAGCCATTGGCAAACGCTATGGAACACTATTCCACGCTGAAACACATAGGGTTGCCATGAATTGAATGCACCTCAACAGCAACTGGGTATTTAGCTAGGCAGGAAATAGTGATTGATTATTTTACCAGGTGGTCTGCTGAGAGCTTTACATAGGTACAGTGATCTTCACGAGGAAGGTGAGGCTCTGGAGGGAAGGTTTAGTGAAAACCACTAAACATTTGTGCAACTGAGCTGCGAACACCAGGCAGGCTGAGCCCACGCCCACATTCCTAACCACTGTGCCACTCAGCTGCTGAATTACTTGCTGAATCAAGACCTCTGCCTGATGAAGTTGACCTTGGGAAATGGAGCAAGGACAGGCAGTATACTAAGAGTCACCTGGGGAATCTTATGAAAATGTAGATTCTGTTCTGAAAAGGCAAATTCACAGCAGGAGTGGAATCAAAGTGAACCAGTTTAAAGCCCTGTGGATTTCACTTATCCTGCAACCATTCTGTTGTGGACAGGCCAGGGCTAACTAGGAGAGCAAATGCGGATAATGGAAAAGGGGTGAGTCTCTAAATTCTGGAGTCTTGGATTGTTATTTTGAGTGACTTTGACATTACATATTCTTTCTGAACCTTGGTTTTGTCTTCCATAAAATGGGGAGATGCACATAAACTGTCAAGGGATGTCAGGAAGATGAAATAGCTCAAGCCACAAGCAGGGGTGAATTACGTGATAAGCAAGGTAAACATGTGCTTACTTACTAAACTGCAGTGGACAGTTTCACTTGTTTTTTCAATGAACCAGGCATATAGGAGGTACTCAGCAACACAGGTTCTTTTAACTTTTTTGTT